CTATGCACAATCAGCTTGTAACACTCCAAAGAGAAAGGAAAACTTGAAATCGCATCATATGACCCCTTTAAAACTTTTGGTTTACCTAATGTATTATTAAATGGTGAAATTAAAAGACTAATACATTTTTCATTATTTCATGTAAACTGTTGTTAACTAATGTTAGCAAGAGCATTTGGAAAAGTACATTTGGTTGCTGATATTGTACTCACTGGGTACTCGGTTGATAGCCCGGAGAGGTCGAAGTACTCTGACTGTTCGGACCGCAGAGAAACTAACATTCTGCAGGTTGAGAGAGTATTCCAGCATCCTGTAAACACACACAAATAAAAAGAGTTTCAACTTTAAATAAAGCAAGATATTTGATTGTATGCATATACTAATGAAGACACATTACCCCCCATTTGCAGTGCATCTGTTAATTAATCCACATTTTGGATTTTATTGGAATTCTTAATATCACCTGAAGGCAAAAACTGATCTGATTTTTAAACTGATGAATATCCTCCATATGTATCCCTTACTATGGCAACAAAGTGTAAAAGGCCAGCAATATTTTCAAATAAACACTGACAGCCCAGACACATTAGTGGCCCTTTCCCTCTCAGGGTGTACTCACACCTGTCTTGTTTGGTTCAATTGAATCGAACTCAAGTTTGTTTCCCCTCTTGGTGCAGATCTTTTGGGCAGGTGTGAAAACAGCAATCGCACTCGGGTGCGGACCAAACAACCGTACCGAGACGAAGAGGTGGTCTCTGGTCTGATTCCAATCGAACTCTGGTACGGTTCGTTTAAGGCAGTGGTCGCCAACCCGTCGATCTACTGTCCCAGTAGATCTCGAAAAAAAACAGTAAAATAAGTACAAAAATGCATTACATTAATGGGGTTATATTAAGGGAACTGTCTTGAGAAAAGTTTCGATGGCAATGGCATTTTCTTCTCCGTATAAAGCGCAACTCTGCTTTGTTTACAGCGGTAAACAAGGAAACGCTATATTGCGGTCGGTTCATAAGCAATGTTGCCAAGTCCGCTGTTTTCCCGTGGAATTAGGCTACTTTAACACTGTTTCCGCAGGTTGTTGTTCATGTCCACGGGTTGAAGCGACCCCAATAACGTGATATTTAGTCCCTGGAATGTGAATTTTACTGGAAGATCCCCACCGAAAAACGTGTATTTTTTGTTTTAAATCCTGAAATTAATCTAAATCAAATCAAAAACAACTGCCCGTGCAGATCATGATTAAAATGCAGTGGTTGCCTCTAATTTCAAATGGCTAGATATTTTTGTTTAAAGCCAGTTTGTTTGTTATAAAGCAACTAGCCAATAAATAAATTTGCTTAAAAATCAGTATTTCAGGATTAAAAGAAAAAAAGAAAAAAAGAAAAAGGAAGAAAAGAAAAGAATTCTGAATCTCTGAATCAGCTATGATCGGCGCATCACTAATTAAAATACTAAGTAAAAGGCCTCAAATTTGAAGACAATCTGGGATGTTTTTTTCTATCAATACTTCAATAGGTAGATCTTGTCTTTCATAAAGGCCGAGGTCAGGGATCTTGGGCCTAAAAAGGTTGGTGACCACTGGTTTAAGGTGTGAATATGACCCGAACTCGATCCGAACCAGTTGCAGAAATAACGCTCAGAAACAGCTTGCACATGTAGTGCTGTTTTTTTTAGTTTCAATCACTTGTTTTTAAACCACAATGCTTAAAAATGCATGCAAATGATGAGTTTTCATGACCATGGCGCACACCAACGTGACGTGAGCACGCAAAATAGGCTAAAGCTTGCCGCAAAGTTACCATGTATATGTTGGGGGGAAATAGTAAGGATATACTAATAATATTTGAATTATTTATTAATAAACTAGTGTTTTCTGAGTCAGTGTCGCTAAGATGAAATTGATGATCGTGACTCGCCATCTCATCATTGGACGCGCCTTTAGAAAGAAATGCATCTTGGATTACATAATGAAAGATTTTTTGTTTTGGATTTGAATAATTTCTTTTTGTAGTCATTTAAAGCTTTCTATAGATATATTCATCATGTCTGTAAGGAAAATATTCGCTGATTTTTGGTTAACTTTTGTGAAGCGCTCCTGCTCAAGACTGAGGCGGCAAGCGCATCCTGTTTGTTTTCTTTATTTTAAAAAAAGCACACAAATAAAATAGACCCTTTACAATTCCGAACGATGTATTATTCTTACTTTCATGAGCAAAAATGACGGCGTATTTATCCTGAAGCGCACTTCAGCTTCCACTCTCCACACAAACGATAGGATATGCACCTAATAGCGCACATTTATCTAGGTTAAATGTTTAAACTAACATTGTGATATGCTTTAAGTATTTTATATCTATAGATTTTATTTTCGGCAAGTTGTAATTACAACATCGTATGACATTGTCTCATATGATGCTCATAAGTTTCTTTATATTGCGTTAGTATCTGATAACACCAAATCAATAAAAGAATAAAAATTGCACTACGAAAGATTTCCATGAATAACCTGTTTTTGCACTTCCTGTTTTCCCTGCTTGAGAATTTCTGTTCAATAAATGGATGACCTTAGCACACGTGTAGTTTTGTTTACAATTTCTGGTTCACTTGCAAAAAGGGCAGTGTGAAAGCGAACCGCACCAAACAAAAACAAAAAAATCAACATTGTATTTGGTCCGGACCAAAGCAAGTGAACTAGCGGACTTTCCTGGTGTGAATACACCCTCAGTCTGTCCATGTGAATTAAATTATTTGTCTTATTTCTTGTATCTTGTTTTAGACCAACTACAAATACATCTATACAGTGCGTCTGTATGACAAAGGGAGACTAGTACAGTTTAGCATAATGCTAGCACCACAAGTTTTGTTCGCTGTGTTATGTAGTTATTGTTAGAACACATCAAAATGTTTGTCCTTTCTTTGAATTTGATTTACTATTTCCAATCAGAGGTACACTTCAACCGATTTTTGTAATTTGAATAGTATTTTAATGTAATATGCACAGTAAGATACTGTAAAATATGTATACAATATTTTACTGTAAACAGCAAAGGGTTATGGGGGAAATATACGGTAACTACTGTATTTCTTCACTACTGTAAATGCATTTACAGTAGTGAACTTGCCCGCGAAAAACTGACCAATGGCAAGGGAGATTTATTTTAAGGTGTTTTTTTTCTTTTTTTACTGTTTGGTGGAAATGGCGGTAAAAGGGCAAAAGAGAAATGATGGACTGTTAACTCAACAAAAAGGTTAGTATATTATTTATATTTTATGCAAAACAGAGATATTTAAAGATGTTTTTACTTGTTAAAAGCAAACATTATTCATCTTCTCATTTTTCATGTCGGGAGTTGGAGCCTTTTTTACTGATTGATGGACAGATTGCTGACATAACGGTGATAACATCGACTGATGAGTAAGTTATTGTCACCAATATTAGCCGAAATAAACTTTAGTTAAACCAAGAAACATAACGTTTGTACGTTTCACTGCCCTTTATTTCAAGTTAGCTAATCTGGCGAGTCGTTACTTAATCTTAACAGCGAACTAACGTGAAATACTGAGGTAAAGCGAGTTAGGCAACACCATTGTTTAAGTGGAGATTTTAAACAGTATTTTCAAGTACTTCTTTTGTTTAATTTGTAGTCTGGATGTCATCTGCAACGTTGAAGGTGTATTTTGGAATCTCTTCTTGTGAATGCCATAGTATCGATTATAACATTGACTGGTAAATGAATGTTCTCCACTAACTCACAGAACGGGTTGACGTTTTAAAGAGGAGGAACGGCTAGCAATATATTAATATAGCAAGTTTTGCTAACAAATATTATAAATGTTTATTTTATTAAAAAAATTGTATTATATTATTGTATGGTAGTTTTTTCTTCTGATCATAAATTATAATAACACTAAAATGCTGTTGTGACTCTGTCTGTTACAGGAGATTTCTCCAAGCAAAATGACTGATTAATTTATTTTACTTTTTATTGTTTTTGAAAGGTTTTACTTGTCAGTGTGTGTATGTTTTGCCATTATACAAAGTCCCCTGGGGACTGTGGTTATGCCCTTTTTTCAGCTAGTGCATCCTAGAGGTCAAGATTCATAATTTTTATTTTTAAAAGAAAATGTTCAACAATTAAAAAGAATATTATCAGAACTAATGCTCATGAATTAGTGCTTTTTATGGGGTTGGGGTGGTAAAAAAAACATGGATTACAGTGCTTTACCACAATTTGATTGCTTTTTACAGGTACATTTTTTTTTAACTAAATTAAAATAAGCTCAACAGTACTAATACTGTAAATGACAATATGGTAATAATACTATAAACTACAGTAAAGTCATTAATGTACTGTAACTGTTAATACAGTGATAATACTGTAAACATTTTACAGTAACTTACTGGCAAGCAGTGTTGGGAAGGTTACTTTGCAAATGTAATAGGTTAGATTATAAGTTGTCTTATTTCAAATGTAATAAATAGTGTAACTATTTAAATGACTGTACTTTATTAAAGTAATGTAATTGATTACGTTTGATTACTTTTGTATTGCTTTTCTAAATTCCTAACGAATGTTTTTAACTGTTAATCATTTTCAAACCTTTTAAGCAGGCAGGGTTAACCTACAGTAGTACTCAACATTGATTACTGTCAGACTTTCAAAATCATTCATCACTTGAATTAAGATTATAATAATTGAATTTTAAAGCACAGCACTGGAATGCACTTTTAAAACACTGGAACAATTTTTTATCACTCGCCATGGTGGCAACTCTTAGTTTGCAGCCTAAGGCTTTCAGCGGCAATGTGGATTGATGTAATTGGCAGATGTGGTGCACTGCAAATTCAAACGAGAACCAATCAAAAGCATAAGAATAGCATCTCTTTACTAAATGGCCTTTAAATGGCAGGAGGCATCGTGCACATCAAAAACAGGCAAAGCAACAAATTAATATTATTCAACATATCCTAGCTTTTTACAGAAAATATTCAGATGCAATCATTAACATTTTCATAAGAACTAATTTAACTACACATTTTTTTCTCAGTAGCTAAAATATATTACAGCTACATTTATTTTGTAATTAAATTACATAATCCTGTTACATGTAACTTGTTACTCCCCAACACTGCCAGTAAGTTACTGTAAAATGTACAGCAATCTCTTTACAGTGTAGGCTTTATTATGGGAAGAACCGATTAAACTAAATTTTGGACATGTCTCTGCAGATAAGGTGAGTCATATATTATTGGATGTTTTCCTAAGATACATTTCTGGAAGTTTCCTTATTCAGGAGACATAATCAGAA